TAGCAAAATGCTGTTTGTCAGAATGTTGAGCTATCAGTGTACACCCTATATATGGAACCTGAATCACAGCTGTATTCTCAGGAGACAGTTTGTTTTTAGTGTGTAAGTATGTGCTGAAGGTTATAGTGTTATCTATTGTAAATTAAATATCATGCATTATACTGACATCAAACAGATTATGAACTATAAACTCTTTATTATTATCATTATTGTTATTATAGCGTATAGAATCTGACTGGAAGCAAAATATGGTTTACAGATACTGAAGTCCACTTTTATTGAAATTCATCACATTTCTGGGTGTAAATTGAAAGCTCTTATTTTTATGTGGGAAAATAATGCTTTAATGTTTGCATTATTATTACTCTTCCCTTATGATTAAAATTTTTTCCCCATTTTTTTTAATAAGTTTAGTTAAGTATAACTTGTTATAATGATTATTTCATGATATTATGAGTCATCTGATATTTGTATTTTTTGTGGAATATAGAGAAGAGTTCATCCGTTTTTATTGGTGCAGATCATTGTTATATGAAAGGCTTATGTAAAGTTAATCTGATTCTGACTGTAATTTAATTTTTCATACATAATGAAGTATTAATAATATGCATTGATTCATCATAGATATCCTGAGATGTAATATTGTGTTCCTTACCCCTATTTTCGATGGATGGTGAGTAGAAATAGTTTTATGTTTTTCATATTTTTGTTTCTACCATTAATTTGCACAGTAGCTACATGTTCCTTGTAGAAGTAGTTCTTTGAAGTAGCTAGACATCTTCACTTGTTACCCAAGACATGTTTGTATTTATGATTTGATTTTATATTTAGAATATATCGACCTTGTTTATCCTTTATCAACCATGAGTTGCTGCTTATGCAGCATCCAGCTGGCTGTATCATTGCAGTAGCATACCACTAAACTGTAAACCCCTAAGTTAAAGACTGGCTAGCAGCTCTATAGTATGGGGGTTAAAATTCCCCTATTTTCATATGATAAAGGTTAAAGAATTTGCTGCCAGGAGATTCATGGTGACATTCATACAGATGGAAATGGAAACTGCAATATTTTGTACAGTTCTTGGAAGAGCTGGTTTATGTGTATAAACTTCCCAAGCTGGGAGCTGTGTTTCTTGATTTAAATGTTGAAAATATATATGGAAGAAAACAATAGTTTATTTTGAGCTTCCTGAAGTTAACCATTTCTTTATTTCATAATAGTCTCCAGTGATTGGAATGTTTCCAGTGTAGTAAGAAATGCATGTGCCTCATGGCTGTTTTAAGTTCTCCACCATTGGTATCAAGTTTTCATGCTGATTGTATCTCAAGTAATATATATGCTGAAATTATCAAATAGTACTTATGAGCCAAACTGAATGAAAATGATTCAATGAACTTCTTCCCCAAAACATTTAATGGTGATATGTTTGAAAAGAATTTATACATTGTTCTGAGTTCATGTTGAGTTGGTATTCAAGTGCTAAATTAGAGATACAAAAAGAAATACCTGGAAAAAATTTCACTGTCATGAAACTTTGTTATTGTTTGTCATTAAAATACACATGGAGCTCCGCTCTGTTAGTTCTTCATATGCCAAGTTACAGTATTATGGTTTTCAGAAACTGGAGTTTTAGAAATTACTGTTGCTGCTGCCTAGGATTATAATAAAACTGACATGGAATTTAGGTCTTTTCCCCCCTTTTTATTAACAAGGTGATAAACTGTCAGTTTTTCTAGGTCTGCCCCATGGAGTTAGTGAAACCATTTGGGACAGTGTGTAATCATACTTCTTAAAATCATTGATATGGAATTGTTTAATTTCTCCATTTAACAGACACAAACAGATTTAAATTGACCATTGTTTTTGTAATGCCACTAATCAACCATGTTTTTGAGTTTCTCATCAGATCCCTATTATATAGTGCAACATGTAAAGGATGTTACTGCCAAGTAGATCAGGTCAACTAAATTCTTAACCCCTAATACTTATTTTCTTACTGTCTTATAATTACAACTGTGATCATAATCAGCATAGCAGTATTGAGATGGCTGAGAGTAATTAAGATTACAGTTTTACCAAATTAATATCTCATCACTGAATGTAAGACTTACTGTCACTGTGTACTTGTTAGTAATAGTAAATAGTTCGTGAATAGTCCCAGTTTTAAATCAGTCTCCCTTGTGATGTTGGTAATGCTGTATAGCAGAGTCCTTCAGCAGGCAGCCCAGTTGCTGGATATAACTGAATTTTTCAAGTCTAGAAAATATTTTTTGGTGTAATTTACATTCATTTTATGTAATAAGCCACAGAAATTAAATGTACTTCTTTATTTGAGAAGCTGTTGAAGTCCTGTTAGCTTAGGGTAATTCTAACCCCAGTTAATCATTGAGAAGTAAAAGTCCAAAATATAATGTAGAAAATTTATACTTATTTAACTTTGTTTGATATTTTAAGTATTATATTTATTGTAATTATTTAAACTTTAGAATGACAAAATTGTTTGTTATTTCCAAATTTGTCTGTAAAATCTGATTAGTTTTCCGTTTTCAAATTATTTGGAACACTGCATTAAACCAATTTTTTCTCATGCCACAACTGGCTGTCACAAACTCAAACAAGACAACGAGATGCTGACATGCTGCTTTGAAGCAGCTGTGTAAAACTTGTTAAGTGGCTTACAGTCAGTTTCAAACTAAGTACTCAAAAACTCTTAAGCGAAATACTCGCCTCTGGCTGTACAGCCCAGTTATAATGTATATGGTGTTCCCAGTAACATGTGCTTTTGCTGTTTGCTGTCCTATCATAAAAGGACAGTAAGGCAGTGCAAAATGTTCAATATTACAGACATAAAAAAAAATCAGTGGTTTCCAATTGTGGCCAGCAGCAGGTTCCACATTCCTGTTTTATTATTATTATTATTATATTATGGTTGTCAGTGACATAGGTGAAAATGTGTGTCCATGTAAGTTGAGGATAGGATTTTGGCATTTTCATATGAAGAAGGTTCTGCATGGTGTTTTGACTTTCATTTGAATTATGTTTTATATTTATTTGCGCTGACATTTAGTTACTAGCTGCATCTTATCCAGAAAATTTATGGTGTTCAACTTGTATGAGGGCTTCCTTCTCATTGCTTACCTCTTCTGTAGCCCCACTCTTCCAAACTGTCTTGCATTGTGCTTTTGATAGGAGACAATAAATAAAATAAAAATAAAAATGAAAAACAGTCAGTGATCAGGAATAAAAATATATAAAGACCATAAATACCTTTATGAATAACAATAAAGTGTTACAATTTACATTTGGAAGTCTCTGTTTGATAGAATGTACTAAGATGTAAACTTCTGTGTGCCAATAATGGCGAAGAATTTTTCTTCCCATTTTCAGTATTCCGTAAGCAACTTTAAATATTATTTCTGTAAATTCCAGTGGGTCTGGTAAATTGCTTTTGCCTAGGTATTGTATATATATTAAGCTAGTTGAGACCTATCAGTTGTTATGAGATTCTTTTGATGAATTCAATATTATAACTGAAACCAAATAGAATTGTAATAAGTAATTAATTTTTAAAAATTAATAAAATAATTATGGATAGACATTTAATAAAAAGTAGGCTGTTTAATTATTTAATGTACAGAATTGATTTTACCAAATATACATGAATATTAAACACATGAATATTTATTGAATTATCATAATTGTGTGTGCACTGGGGTTCTTAAGTGAGTCATGCTATGAACATATGTATAATATTAGTTAATAATGCGAAATTTAAGTTCTTCAGTACCATGGGAAATAATTAGCATATTATTTTCAGTTCTGTGTTGATTATATTTTCAGTTAACTAAAATGAAAGTTGCTTTATTATTTTTTACACATTCACAACAAACATTGCAAAAGGGCCCCTGTTAGCTTCACCATGTTTGCTTCTCTGTCTTTTCATCTGTCTGAATGCAACAGCTTGAGAACTTCTCTACAGATTTTCATTGAAGTCAACATTGAATAGTTTTGCTAATATTTGTCAACACATTTCAATTTTGAATTGGCTGACCTTTACATGAATTCTTGCTTGTGCTTCTGTGAATATTATTTTCAAGAACTTCCACTGTTTCCAGAATTGTATTAAAACACTCCAGAGTGACAGCTTAAGTAAAATTAGGCTTGTGTGTTTCAGTGTATGTTTTCCATGCATAATACTTTCAGGGCTTTTATTGGACCAGAAAGTAATTCTTTCATGCTGTCCTGGTTTTGTTTGAATGGCTGCTGCAGAATGTTTATACTTTTCTCACTTGATGCAGCAACGTGACCAGCATAAACCACAGTTGCTGCTGCATTTGAAATATTAACTCATTCTTATGCCACAGTTGTTGGGCTTCAAACATAAGAGATTTTTGTTTTTAAATAATCTAGCCCATTTTTGAAGTTGTTGTGTCATATGACATTTCCTTTTCCTTGCAAGGCCTGAGTTCATTATATATACACCTGAAACAGTTTTATTCCCATGGCACTGATAATTTGATTAGATCATTAAGATAGAAACATAAGTTTCTTGTAGCTTGAAAATGTTTCAGTTCGATTTTAGATATGATTCATGCTTTAGCATAAGGGAAGAACACCTTATGTACCACTTCCATGTCTGTCACATTTCATCACATTGGTGCAACAGATCAGGTCACATTTTTCTTTGCTAGCATTGTTACATTTGTTAGTCCCTAGAATACCCTGTTGATGTCATTGCTCATTACATGGCATGAAGAACACCTCTGGATTTATCTGTTTCAGTAGCACATATTTATTTATTTACCAGATTTGTCAGTTTTGTCTGTTCACTGAGTTCTGTGTGCTGAAGAAGCAAATTATTCACAATACTGCAGTGAGGAATGACTTTTCAGTGTGACAGACCTTTGAACAGAGCTTTAGTTCTGCGAAAATTCAATAAATGTGTATAGTGGGATAAGAAGAAAGAACACAACATTTCTGTTTAATATTTACAAGAGATTCGATAATGCAGTTCCCTCTTCATAAATAATGAAGTAGTTGTTTCCATCTAATAATTTATAATTTGAAAGTTATAATTTGCATGTCTCTTGTGAATATATAGACATTGTTTCTACATTGAAAAAACAGAACAGTTGAAGTTTTTCTTTTTCAGGAAATGGACAATGGACATGTAGCATATTTGTTGCTGTTGATTTGGAACTTGTTACATATTTCCGTTACTAGATGTGTGGGACATAATTAAATATTTCATTCAGTTTCTTTGTCCTGAAGATTGCTATTTGTTGTGAAAAAAATAGCAGTCCAGACCAGCATAAAATGATGTCATCCAAAAATGGAAATTCTGGATGAACCCTTACAGAATTAGACTTTGATGTAGAAAGACTATTTGTTAAATGGGCATTGTTAAGGGCTACTCTGAACCAGTGCCCATTTGTTATAACTTGAGTTTTTGTTGGTTTTTCTTTTTATTTCAAGTTTTAGAGAATCCACAATTTTAATTGTATCAAGAGAAGAAGCAGTTCAACACATGATAATGATGAAGCTCTGGTGGGCCATTTAATTATTTTTTAATGTACCACATCATATGAGCTACGCTGGTCATAGGTAAATATGATCTCATCATGATTGGATTAAGGCTTGTGGAGGGGAGGAGTGGTTGTCACTATACATTAATTTTCATGGTAGAACACTGATTCTCAATTGAAGTCATAGCTGTTTTATTCTTGTATGATTTGTAAGTAAAATTAGTCTGTTCTGCACTGGCTGAAACTGGGAGGAAATGTCTGCTTTTCTTGTGACTGGGCATATTTCAGTATTTCAAATCAAAAGGATTTTAAGAATTTCAAACATATCTTAGCTATACACCAGATATTACACAAGAGATTTTTCTGTAACTTAAGGAAGTAATAAATACTAAAACTGGATGACATTTTTACATGTGGGATCTTTCATTTGTATAGGATGCACAGTTCTGTGAAATATGTAAATTTTTATTAATGGGTTTTCTTTGCAAGTATTGTTATCTTTTTATTAAGGAAATTTTGCTGTGCTTGTTGATTGAAAGAGTTAAAGTTGTTTGCTAAAATTCCAAATAATTTTACAAAGATACTGCTTTTTAAGTTTTAGTATTATTACAGTAGACATACAGAGTGATTCACAGCTCTGACACAGAAATTAGATAGAGAGGTTGGAAAGATGATTTGGAGCAGAAAATTGAAATAAAGATTTTTCACGGTCACCACTTATTTATATGACACTTTACAACGTTATTGCTTTTATTATTGTGATTTTTACAAACCGAATAGAATTCATTTTAACATAACATGCCGGTTAATTTTTTTCTTTGAATTTGTTGCATTTTTAGTTGTCACTTCAGAGTACTTCTTTTTGAGTAATTTTCTGTTAATGTGGTGGGAACTTGTCAGCACACTGAAAACACTGTACACAATCACAACAAATGTGCGAAGTGTCCTTTCTCTGCCTAAACAGATTTCTCACAATGGTGTCGAATTTGGCGCTTTATGGAGACTAGTCAGCAGCCACCACCTTAATGTGATTGGATTGTTGCAGTCCTGAAGTTTGGTGGCATTAACTTTTTCCTTCATGTATCCCCACAAATAAAAACCTAGGGGTGTCAGCTCAGGAGAATATGGAGGCCAGACAATTCGTCATCCTATCAAAATCCTTCTGTCTGGAAAGTTGTCAAACCAGTTGTACACTTATTGTGGAAAATAGGAGGAGCACCACTAACCACATGCTCTTATACCCACCGAATCACATTCTCCAATGAAAGTGGAATTATTTCTTCAAGAAAATTAGTGTACTGTGCCCTACCATCTGTGTTGGACTAAGAAGTATTGAGTAATATGAGAATTCTTCAGTGTCATACATGCAAATTGTGTTCATTGTGACTCCGCTTCTTGTAATTACTGCCTCATCAGTCCACAACACAACACAGAAATTGAAAGGTGTCCACAATTTTGTATAGCACTCTTCGAGAGAACTGTGGACGGAGATGTTTGCAGTCCTTATACTGTTGTATAGGGAAAGGATACAATTGATTCTCATGTAGAGTATGCCATACTGCACTCTGATAAAGTTGTCCTGTTACTGAAGAAATATGACAGTTGCTGGTTGATGGGTTATTGTGTACAATATCCAACATAGTCCCCACATCCTACATATTGCATCTTCCATGGACATCATGTACGAGAGTGCCTATTTCTTTCAGATTATGATGCACTGTTTTGAATACATGTCAGTAATGTTGTCTTTGATCTGCGTATCTTGCTGATATTTTGTCATTGCAGCAAGAGAATTTCCTTTGCAAAAATCACAAACAAAATGAATATCTGCATACTCTGCATCAGTACATTTAGGTGTTGTTGATGTTGCTACTGTTCTTGTTAATAGTACTACTGTCTAAGTATGATAACTGCATTTCCACATGCTCAGTATGGAGCCCCGGTCAAATATTGTCACTCACAAACAATCTGAAAGAAAAAGTGGTTTACATATTCTGCTCCAAATGATATCCCCAACAAACTCCTTAAGTACTGTACTAGAGGTTTGAATCACTCTGAATAGACATGTATCTTCTTTTTGCTTAAATTTTTATCATCAATTTCTTAAATAATTGTGTTTATGTTTATGCTTCATTAAGTACACTGATAAGGCCACAACATTGAACTCAAAAAGATATTCTGTTAATAGCTCAAAGCCTATAGAATTATTTCTGAATTATTCACAGGTAATTTTTCAGCATTGTGTATGAAATATTATTACTTGTTGACAGACACATTGAGGATCAGTGTACTAGATTGTTTCTTATACATCAGTCTGAATGTGACTGATATTTTCCAAAGCTTTCTTACGTGGTATTTGCCTGCTGCTCTCCTCTTCAATGCCACCTAGAGTAGAGTAGCTGTACTTGCATTTGCATCACATTTTGCTTTCTTTCTCTTATTTCAGCTTCTCTTAGTCTTTTTGTGCACTGGTATTACTCTTAAATTAAACTATTTTTAAAGTGTTTAGAGGTGTATTTTTGCCTAGATGTTTTGTCTGATTTCCTGTTTTAAATAGATATCTAATTATGTTTTGCATCAATAAAAACGGATATTGCCCTTCTTACATTAAAATTTAAACCACAACTATGTACAGATATTCATATTTCTCCTCATTTTTATTTTTTATTTCACTCAGGTGTTGATTAAATCTTAATGTTTCTTTGATTTCAACCTTCTCCATTTTTGTACACTTTTAATGACATGTAGAATGCATAGTCATCTGCACTATCCAATGTTCCCTGTTTTAACCAATTTAGTCACATACTTAGAGAATAGTGAATTATTATCCATGTTTGTTGAAGCATGTTAAATTATAGTGCTGTGAAAGTTGAAGCTAATTTTCTAAACCCTGTCACATAGTAGGGGTGAATGATATGGTGGTGGTGCTTATGCTGGAGAAATAAGTTGATGGGGTTTGGAAGGTGGGCATGAGCTTTCAGGAGCTTGTTTGCTCGTAATGGATCATGATGGAGGTGACACTGTAATTAAGTTTGTGTAACTTAGAATTCTTGCCTCATGATCTTTGTTCTGATTGTTTCTGCTTTTCTGTAACTAGACATATATACTTTTCCCCCAACATCATCATATAGTTCAGAGAACTGTACAAACTGATGTCAGAATGAAGCAAAGAATATCACTTAACAGAAATTGTTATATGCAGTTTATTATTTACTTTGGTTATAAATATTCAGTGTATACGGTGGTTATAAATAATCTTTACACTTTTGAAAATTTATTCTAAAATTACAGCTGACTAATTATTCAATAAGTTCTTGTGTTATTTAACTCAGAGATGGGGTTTTACTGTCCTAGAAGTGTCAATGCCCATTTACTTTTATTATGTTCTATATTAGGTGGAGAAAAGGGTTAAGATTTGGTTAAACTGTGCTGACGATAATACACTTTGAAGGACACTGAACAAAACTCTGTGATAATTTCAACAAGCAAATGCTTTCATCTGTTTCTAACCCAATGAAATCTTCTCAGGTAATCCACCTGATGATAATGGCATTGTAATCCAATTTTTCAGAGAATATTTCTTCTCCATTATTAGGGTTGACATGATGAGCGACATGTGTGTTCACATCTGTGATTGGATCTTAGAGTTCTGTGTCCTTGTCCAGAAGTGGGTGTGCTGTCATACCACTCATCATGTCAACCCTGATGGTGGAGGCAGAGACGTCTTTAACACGCTGGATTCCAATACAATTCTCATGTCTCCCTCTAATTGCCTGAGAAAATGTCATTGTATTTGGTCACCATGAAAGCTTCAAATATATTTCTAAGCCACTTAAATAATTTATTTTACTGCTTAATGGATCTATCACAGTACTGGTCTTTGAAAAGATTTTAGGAAGTTAAATATATTGAAATTGATTGTATTTATATTATGTACTGCGGATTGTGGATTCTGTTATAGATGTTGGTGTCACCTCCATGGCTCGCCAGTGTGTTATGTGTTAAGTACATACGTTTATATTAATAATGTTAGCTGTACCATGCTGCAGATGATTACTCTTCCAGGTATTTTTTCTATATGTTGTTTCAGTTCCATTTTTTCGGGGGTGGGATGGTGGTAGATAGGCCCGTCCTTGGGTATGATTAGTTATATGTTCAGTCAGAATTAGGAAACTACATTCATCGTTAATGTTTCCAGTATTGAGCATTGGTAGTGTATTTCCCATCCAGACTAACTATAAACATAACTGATTATACTGGATAATCCTGTGGGATTAGAACATTTTCATGCTGGTTGCTGTCATGGTTAGATGAAAGTAACAAAGATAATGAAAAAAACTTTTGCATCAGTTGTTATGGATGGTTGTTTTCAACATATATATTTATTAAAGTTTTCTATTTTAATTGATGATACCATGTTATAATCAGCTTGTTCACTAATTTTTCTCACATTTGCAATCTCTATTTTCAAAAAGAATACATATTATACAAAGACCTTATAAATATAAAGACTAGATCTGTCAGTCTCTCTACTGTGGTTAAAAAGACTTCTGAATTTTCTTGGCATGACAGTCATGTCTGTACACCATGGTGTCAAGAGGTTGTAAACAAACAACTGTGAAAACTTGGGGGCATTTCAAAGTTTGCAAATTTATACACAGAGACAACATAATTTGTGATACGCAGCTTACAAAATTTCTCCATGATGTGAAAAAATGAATTTGGTCCTGAAGGAGTAAAGCACCATGCATCATAATCTAATATCTCATAAATTTAAAATTTTCTTTAGACTTTGATGTTGAAGAATCTTATGTTAGAGTCAGTAAAGTTAGATTCATAGTATGTATGAATACATACACACGTACAAAATTTCTTCTGCCTGTTTCTCTGCCTGATCTGGTTGATATGGTGTCGTGACCAGTTTAAAGTGCTAAAGTTATATGTATCTGTCAATGTTCATTGCAATTCATTGCTAATTCCATTATTGTTTGAAATCCTGAACCTGTGAGAATTGGAAGAAACAATCCAATAAAACTGCAAGTGCATCTCACTATTTCGTACTTTTGTAAAATTAACTGATGGATACATGCCCTACTGATGGTTATATATATTGTCACATTTAGGTATTACATTTAATGCTTATTTATCATTAATTTTTACTCATTTTCTTGTGAATGTACAGTTTTAGTACATTCTTTTACTTCAGGAAATCCTTATGGCTAGACCACCCCACTGATCTGACAAATAAACTTGAAATGCTGAAAATGACATTAAGGTGGATCTTAAGGTGATATTTTGTGAGGGTGGTGGTAGTGGTGGTGGAGGGTGGAAGTAGCAGACTTGGATATTGTTCTCAGTACAATTTTCTATGGGTCACTAATTCAACAGCATTGTGGAAGAAGTGTTTCATCTGTCTTCTTAAGTATGTGTTTGTGTTTTAACCTTGCACATTTGTGTAATTAAAGCCAGAGTATGATAGAAGTATCATTTAACTCCTTGCTGTCAGAGTCAGTGCTTCAGACCTGGCTGTGCAGTAGTTGCCAGTCTGTTTTGTTAAACTTAATACACTTTTTTCTTGTTATTTTATACTAATACTGATTATTTATGTCATGGCCTTTATAATTGATTAAAGTATTGTCAGATTTTCTTATGCAGGAAACAACAACAAAAAACCCAAAGCTTTGAAGATTCTAAATCTTGGTTGTCTTAAGTGAATTCTGGACTAAGCTCAAAAACAAATGGCAGAATCTAAATAAGGAGCGCTTTCAACAGATTTGAGTCAAACAATGTCTTGAAATATTTATCCACTTCTTTATTGTGATATATTTTTGTATGATTGACATGCTATAGAACAAACATATCTGGAAGGGACAAAACCACAGCTTGTATATCCTGGGAATCCCAGGTTAGTCTGCCCCGCCCATATAGACCATAATGTAAAAAGCATCAAACAACAAATGACACGTGGAGAGATTGCATGTGTAATCATTCTGCAGGTGGTAGGCTTTCTGATAAACCATTAGTTTTAACAAGCATCGCCTTTGAACAGGTGGGGATACTCCAGTGTCTGCAACTGAGGGACCTGCCTTGAGCACTGGTGCTATTGTCAGCATTGTCGTGGCATCACTGATTATAATTCTCATCTTCATTGACGTGTCATGCTATCTGGTGAACCGGACAGGACTTCTGATGGTGATATGTGAGAAGATATGTGGCAGTAGGACAAATGATGAGGATGCAAAACTTGGCAGGTGAGTCATCCTTCCATTCTTTCAGTGTCCAGGTTATGTTGTTAGGTTTTGAATTTGTATTGGTAAGTTGAATAGCCAGTACATTTGCTTGTGTGTATTCTAGTATAATTTGTATTCTGGGTTAGAAGAATGTCAAAAGGTAGATCCAATTGACAAAATATATTCAAGTGAAACTTACTGTCACTTTTTGAACAGTGAATTACCGTGCGGTTTTCATGTCATGAAAGTTTAGGCTATGGTCTTTGAATTATGAGAGGTGGCTGCAGCTTCCTATGAAATTTTGGCAGTCACAGAACTATGCAAACGTTCACCCAGAAGACCACAATCTAAATGATCTGCAGTGTTTGCATCTGGAATATTCACTTTCTGTTATAGGGATTGTCTCCATATTACAATAGCCTGTCATGCATTTGACTGATTTATTTAAAACATAATACCAGTTATTGTATGGATTTCTGTTTCATTAAATATTTGGTTTTTATAAGTACCAGCTGCACTGAGCATTGTCAGTAGTGTTCTTTGTTTATTGTCTCAGGTCCAGTGACTGCAATTTTAAATTACATGTTGGGATTTGTTTGTGCATTTTCATTTACTGTCGGTTATTCTGATTATCACCACAGTATTTTTAATTCTTGGTTTTCCCAATCAGGCATGTCACTTTTGGCATATGGTTCCTACGATTGAAAGAGCAGTGGGAAATCTAGTGAAAATAATGCT